CACAATTTTATGGTTTTACATACACAAGTCAAAATACAAATATTCATGAATGATTTTCTCACAAATCTTGTTTATGTGAACCATCTAGGGTTTATTTCATAGACCAATCATAAAAATGAACTCAAATCAAACAAGGTGTAGAGATTAGGGTCCAATTTCATGTCTTTAGCTCTAGCCACCACACAACTCAAACCTTAGCTCAAAATTCCTAATTTCTTCATGATTTCTTGACAAAGATGAGTTAGAGACAAATTTTGTAAGTAAATTTCCATACCTTAACTCAAATCTATGGTTGGCCCCTTGATTCCTTTCAAATCCCTAGCTTTCTCCTCTTTCTCTCTCTCTAACTCACACTTTGGAGCCCTTTTCCGACAAAAGAAGAACAAAAGAGGCTATACATATATAACTTAACTCAAAAATCTTAATTTATTCATTACGAATCATAATTTTCAAAATCTCACCAAAGGCTCTAAAAATTATGTTAATCATAGCTGTGAAGTCGGTTTTTGTTTATCGCGTCTCTACAACCTTCAATTTCAGTTTAAAGTTTCAATTGCAATATATATTCTTACTTTCAACAGATATTTTTCCAAATTCACATATTTCCCATACTTAAACTTGTAATTTCATATCAAACACATAATTATATACATAATTAAGCATAGTACAAGTTGGGTTATCATAGAGGGTTATTTTGGAAATGCAAAAAAAGCTGACTTGTGGCGCCCTAAAATAATTAACATTATCTTGCCTCATATTAGTGCTGCGATTGATTTAATAATCTCATAACTTCTATTCATTATATCTTTGATCATTATAAAAAGTGGCATATGCAATATATATTCACCAATCCTAGATTCTAAATCTATAGCATATGGCATGGATACAAGAATAAAAAGAGAAATAAAACCAAGTAATGAAATGCCTTAATAATTACACATGGATACAAGAATAAAAAAAGGAAATAAAACCAAGCAATGAAATGCCTTAATAATTACAACTTTTTAAGACGATGCGTGGTTACAACAAAATGAGTTTAAACTCAATACAAGTAAAGCCTTGGGCTTAAACAAAAATAATTACATTAAGAAAACATAAATGAAGCCTTAAGCTAGGGTGAGCCATAGCCCAGTAAAGATACTCTAACACAATATATGAATCTTATCAAAATTATAAAGTGAATGCACATACATGCCATTTGTCAAACATTTCTCGTTTTCCATCTCAAAATAATGTAATGCTAGATTATAAATCAATTCATGAAAATAACCCTTTTATATCAAAAAAGAGGGCAGTGGATATAACACACTGGAAATCTCTAAGTACGTTTCTGCCAGTAGGTTATATAAGCACTACCGAAACCATTTTACGGATACTAATCAAAAGGATCGACACCTAACTGCTCGGGTTTCTAGACTTTCACCGGATACACCAGCCAACATAATAAAACCACAACCACACCCCCTAACCAGATTCACCACGATATTCACCCATTTTTCTCAAAATTAATACATTTACAATGTTCAATAAGAAATGATGCTCAATGCACAATGTATAAGAAATTAGTTTCAATTCAACATAATTCTCGTTTAATGTCTACAACAATCAATACTATCTTCCACCAATAGCTCAAAACATATGTTTCTATTCAATAGATAATTTCCAATCAAGGATACAATTTTATCAATTATAATGGGAGTGATACTACATATTTAACTCCGCCATCATCATCAAAATAAACATTGTTCCAATTTCACGATACCCAATATCATTTTTCATTTTCCCTTTACAATTCCAAATATCCAAAAATCTAAGACAAAACCCCCTTTGTTTTACCAAATCAATTTCAAGAAGAAACATACACCATTTTAACATATCTCACTCATAAATACATCCCACAACCATTTTCAAGAATCCATTTGGAAAACCCCTCTTTTGATTTCAAATCCAAACCCTAGGCTTTTCCAAAATTTCCCAAATCAATACCCCTTTAAAAATAAATAATAAATAAATAAAATAACTAAGCTAAAAATCATATAAAAGAGTCAAAGAAATTCATATCTCAAAGTTGAAGACACGAAGAAACGATGGGTAAAACTTGACAGAGTCAAAAACACGAAATGCTCAGATTAAAATGAAGCCCTTGACATGCTCAACTTTTTAGGGTAAGGAAACCCATGGATTGAGAGTATTTGGGGCTAGAAATGACAACTAGAGAGAGTGTGTACATGGATCTAGGGTTTTGGAATGTTTAGAGAGAGAAGGAGATGAAAAAGTGATTGAGAATAGCTTCTTTTCGGACTGATATATGCATAGACCGCTCGAGCACAGAAATGGTCGCTCGAGCGACCAAAACCACCGCTCGAGCTCACAATGACTCCCTCCCAATAGTTGAAACCTACAAAAGATCGCTCGAGCGCAAGAAATACCACTCGAGTGAAGATATCAAACCCTCAACAGTTTTACGAACTGTAAAAGATCGCTCGAGCTCATGAATGGTCGCTTGAGCGAACAAACCAAAATCTAGGCAACAACTCTTTAAAAAACTAACTTTCCAATCTGTTTCAAATGTAATCAAAACTCTTAATAGACAAAATCAACACGCAACAAGATGGAAATGAAATGGACAACAGCTAAATATATGGGTTCTCAGACCGAAAAGCAACAAATAAGTCGGATCTAAACCAGAATCGTTATATGACTTTTTTGTTTATTACAGAAAGACGTGCCAAAAATAGAGAGATGATATGATCCAAATAAACCAAAGCCAAAAAGGTGAATTTTTTATTTATTTTTTTTTTTTTACACTTCTCAAAAGAGGCTTGAATAAGGTTTTTATGAGAGGGCTTTGGTTTCTAACAAAGGCGAAACGCTTTCTTCTATTATGAACCATATATCTCTCCACATATATCTAGGGTCACTTAGGTAAAATTGCATTATATTATGAGGGTTGCTATATACCCTTACCTTTTTTCTTTGGTCCTCCATTTTTTTGAACCCCTACCTAGCTAAATGAGTCCCCTTTATTTTCTCTTTAAACCTTCACCTTAATTCTAACAATATCATCTACCTAACCCACCCTCCTAACCCAACCACTACCAGCTCTGGCCACACCCTCCTCCGCCATCTCTATCTCCAGTAACCAACCCGTTGTTGTCGTCTAGAACAGACTGGCGACCAACCCACTACCGTTGTCCATCATCTAGTGGATGAGGTTGTCTGTTACTGATATTCAATAATGAAAGTTGTTGGGTTTCCATGTGTTTGCAATTAGAATTTTTCGATTTGCTAGTGGACGTCTCTCTGGATGGGTTTCCTTACATTTGATTACGATTTACGGTGGATGGTTGTCCGTTATTGGCTTCGGTTCACTAATCTCCAAGATTTGTGTTGGTGTCTTTCCGGTTACGAGTGGCGCCGTCACAGGGTTACTCTAGCCTTATCGTGATGTTGTTGTTATTCGATTTGTACCCAATCTGATGTTTAGATTTGTTGTCTCTTTTGTTTTGCTGGTATTTTCAATCTAGAATAGTGATTTTCTATGATCTAGGTTGGTGCTTTTGGTTGTGGGCATCATCATGACTCAAATGTCCAGCTACAGTTTCGGAGCTTTGTGCGAGGTTTTCTGGCGTTGGTCCATGGCGGTGGTTGGGGATGACAACAATGTTCTAAAGATAGTAATGTTGCGATAATGGCAGTGGTTGGCTAGCCGGGTGGCGTTGGAGGTGAGGATGGTGAACGGCAGCTGCCGGATGTGATAGAATTAGGGTTAGGGTTTTGAAAATTAGGGCTAGAGGGTTAGAGATGAGGATAGAAATGGAATTTTATTTTTGGACAAAATTGAAATTAAAAAAATGAAAAAGAAAGGGTTCAAAAAAATAAGGTAGGTGTAAGTAGCAACCCTCTATATTATTTATTGTCGTTGTAGGAGAAAGTTTTGATCAAAACTTCCTTCTAATTTGACGTATTATTGGTGTTAATTTGTATTATATAAATACATTTTAACTTGACTAATTTAATATTTATATTATCAAAGAGTAATGTTAGAAATTATAAAAAAAAATATCATGAAAGATTCTCCACTATTATATTACAAATACAATAAAACACTATACACTAATTAAAGAATGAAAATTTTTATAAAATATTTCATAATATTTTTTTCATAATTTCTAATATTACTCATTATCAAATTGTAAAAATGGTAAATCATAGTTCGTTAACTTATTAATATGCCATTGATTTAAGTTTTGTTAGCCTTTGTTTGGAAAGTAAAAGTTGGGGCTTTTTTTGCTAAAATAGTCACAAAAAAATAAAGGAGTCTTTTGGGAAGCTAGTAAAAAGCGAGCTTTCAACTTTTTACCTATTTTGGGTCACATCACCTCTCACATAACTTATCCACAAAAAGACAAAATAAGTTAAAAAAGTCACAAAATTAACTTTTTACCAACTTCCTAAAACATCCTAAAATAGGCTTTTTAGCTCAATAAGACAAAATATCACATCTAACACATAATCATTATATTATTTCTCTCACAAAAAGTCAAAAAAATTAAAAAAAATTTCTAAATAAAATTTTTTAACCACAAACTAAAATAACTAAAAAGTCAAAAAGGTAAAAAATCAATCCCTTCCCAAAGGAATACTTTGTAGGTGTTTGAGAAGTGAGTTTTATGTAGTTTTTTTTAGTTGTAAGATATTATTGGAGAATTTTTTTTTTACATTTGGGAAGATAATAAAATTTTTTGTTGTTGGATGTGATATTTATGAAAGAAAAAATTAAATTATAGAATTGAATGTGAGATTTTGTTTGTATTTAATTTTTTTGATTTTATAAAACTTTTGTCTTGTAATAGAAAAAATCAAAAAAAAAAAAAAAATCCAAAATCCAAGTTTCAAAACCCAAATCCCGAATCCAAGTTTCCAAACACCACTTTGTGACTCAAATTTCTTCAAACATTGGGCTGGTAAAGAGTATTTTACCCTATTTTTGGAGCTGGCACCTCAAGACTCTTCCAGAAGCCGTTGGAACTTTGAAGGAAAACAGAGACAAGCAGAGAGAGAGAAAGATAAGGGAGATTGCTGGAGAGAGAGAGAGAGAGAGAGAGAGAGAGAAAGATGTCGGGGGGAGAGAGAAAAAGAAGCGTGAAGCTGTTGTGCCCATCTCTATCAAAAAAAGCGGTGGTGCCATTTGTGGTTTGGGATGATGAGAGGCTTGACCTTGGCTCCATAGCTCGGACCTTCGGGCTCGACCCCTGGACCTTGAAGCTCAACGGCCACTTCGTAAGCAGAGGGGTCGATCTCATTGCCTCATCGGTCACGTGGAAGTCCCTTCTCTCTTTCTTCTCCTCACGTGGTTTGTCCACCGGAGCCACCGACTCCGACCCCCTCATCGTCCACGGCCGCCTCTCCAAACTCCCAACCAAGCGTAAAGTCCTACCTATCTATTTTCTTTCTTATGTTTGGTTACTGAGAAACTTTTTAACATTGCAAAAATGTAAAAACAAAATTGGAATTCTTCAACCTAAATTTGTTGCCTCTGTTCTGTTCTCTTCTGTTTTGTTTGGACAAGTATTTAGTTTTGAAGTTGTAACTACTCAATCAATTATTAATTTAGGTAAATATGAAGTACTGGTTCTTCTATCGATTCTGGAAATAAATTTGTGCAAGAAACTCTAGGAAAAAGAAAGAAATTTGGGAGACTGAATCAAACTTGCGATGTTCTGATTCAAGAAAAATCAGAATCCTCCAGTTTTGTGAGACTAGCTCTAGGACAGTTACTTGATTCAGTTGAGTTGCTAATTTTTATTTATTTTTTTTAGCAACTAAAAAACAAGAAAAGCATGGTTGATTCGGTGTTTTCTTTTTCCTTGAGCTGATTTCTTGACCTGTGGAATTAAAGAAATCGTTTAATTTGTGTTCTTGAGCGTGTTCTAGTACTCTTCTTGTTTTTGTATTCCAACATTATCTACTGTTATTGCTTCCTAGCACAAATCCGCTGAGAGGTGTCTTGTATTTACTGTGTAAAGGGCCTTTTACGGAGGCAGAGTGTAACAGAAAGAGAGTTGCGGAGTGTTCTTGTAATCCTTATTAGTGGATTTTGATTGTTTCCGGTGCAGACATAGGCATCTCGCCAAACCACATATATCTTGTTTTTGTGTGTCTGTTTGTTCTCTTGTTATTGTTTATTGTTTTGTTGTTGTAACCACGTTCTTGTATAGCACCATCTTAGATGCATTGTTTCTCTTCATTTTGGAAATTTCGAAAGAAATCCTCTACTTCGCTGTGGTCTTGAAACATAAAACGAGAAATGTAATGTTGGTGGTAAGAACATGATAGAGAAATGACAAGACATGATGATCTGGTTTCACCCAAATCCAAACTGAAAGATCCAATCCTTTCATTTAATTCCAAATTTGATTACCCAATTATATCTGAGTCTGCATAAATGATTTTAATAAATCCAATTCAATCCAAATCTGAATCTGAATCTGAATCTGATTACAATTGAAACCTATACCCTAGCAGGAAAATATAACTTATAAGGTATAGGAGAGTCCAACTTTGTTGATTTATTATTTTTTTTTTTAATTCTTCAACTTAACAGTCAACATGAAAGCTATATATTAGAGTCTAACTTTGTTGCTTTGTGTTTTGGCATGTATTAATGGCTGTCTAGGTGTGGCTAAATATTTTAATCTAAATAATAATAATAATACTAGTAAGGAAAAAAAAAGGGTTGGGTAAGATTTAAGAATTGCGTGCCCATGTCAAGCAGATTCGGATTAGATTGTTCATTATCATATTTGGATTTGGATTAATGATTAATCGGTTCGAATCAGATTCTACCAGACTTGATTTGAATCTGACCATTATAGGGAGGAAGGTATGAGGACTTGTGGAACTGAGAGAGTAAGTGATGGCAGCGGTACAGATATAACCAATATATCCACCTGCGTATCCCCACTTGGAAGGGTTAGCTTAGGTATGTCTTGGCTGAAACTGAAGGTCTTTAATATTTTACATGTCACTTTAATTACCCATCAAATATGTAACTATTCATTTTGGCCTTTTCTTTAATGTTTATGGGTTATGCCTTTATTGAACGGACTGTAGTCTGTAACTATGCTAATCGAAAAATAGTTTGGACATCAAAAAACTGTCTGGCATGTTGCTGCAACATCACTACTTTGAAATAACTGTCTGGCTGGGATACGGTAACAGCTATATATATTTTTTTATTTGCTATATGAATATATATTTAGGGAATAAAGATAAAAAAAAAAAAAAATCAATCTATATGTAGGTGTAGTGTTATTGTTATTTTTTTAAAAAAAATTTCTTCTCTTTCTTTCCATATATTTCACTGACCCCAAATCAAATTTCTAAAAGTTAAAAAAAAAAAAAAAACATAAAAGTGGCCTAAGGTGTATCTAAACACACGACACGTGTGCCCATGAAGTGTCCTCTTGAAAATAAATAAACATTGACACGTTGCGTGTCTGACACTTGGACCCCATGTGCACGTTGTGTCGTGCCGGTGTCTGATACGTATCAAACCTAAACACACCCATTTTCATGTAACCATGCTTCCTGAGTTAGGCTTCCACAAGGCAACCTATACTCAATACCATAATTAATATCATTGCTACCAAGTTTGGAAAAATTGTGAGAATTATCATTATTGCATATTGTTATTTTTTTTTTTGGGTCGAATAAGTCCTAAAATAAAAACAGAAGATATACACAAATACAAGAGGCATGCCCCAGGCCCTAAACCTAACTATACAAGCAACCTAAAACAGCCTAAAAAGGCCAGCCAAACACAGAACAAGCTGAGACAAAACAGCTACAACCTATGATGCACGGACACGGACACGGGACATGACACAGACACGGGAAAACGCAAATTTTCAAAAAATAGGGGACACGACACGCTAGGGACACGTTCAATATATATAATTTTATTTATTTATTATATGTACAATTAAAAAATATATATATTATTTATTTATTTTAATATCAAATATTATTCACAAATTAAAATTTTGCTATAAATAAAAATAATTTATTTAAGCAAATAATAATATCTAAAAAATAGAAAAAATAGAAAAGAGGAAAAAAAAGATTTTTTTTTTGGTCAAATCTATATCTATATTAGTATATAAATATATATGTATATTTATTAGTATATAATATATATCTATACACTCAGCATATAAAAGAAAAAAAAATACGAGAACAAATAAAATCAGACTGAGAGGGAGAGAGAGAGAGAGAGAGAGTGACTGAGAGAGAGAGATCGGAGAAGAAGGATGAAGAAGAAGAAGATCGAAGAACGAAGAAGAAGAAGAATGGAGAAGAGCAGCGTACCTCAACGAGTGACGACGAGACGAGCTACGAGGACCGACGAGCGACGACGAGTGACGAGCGACGAGCTGCGACGACGAGCGACGATCTACGACGAGCGACGAGCGACCACTGAAAAGTGACCATGTCTTCTCTTTCTCTCCCTTTCTCTTCTGTTCGCCCTTTCTCTTCTGTTCTAATCGAATTAAGCAGATATTGCTCTATTTTTGTTTTTTACAAATCGACCCCAAAAAAAGTTTTATGAATTATGAAGTTACCCCCGAACGTGTCCCCAAAGTGTCCGAACATGTCCCCAAAGTGTCCAAACGTGTCCACAACGTGTCCAGATGTAAAAAAAAAAAAAAAAAAAGTCCGGATGTAAAAAAATTAAAAAAAAAAAAAATGGGACACTCTCTGCTACGTGTCAACCGCGTGTCTGACGCGTGTCCGTGTCCGACACTGGTACGGAGCCCTCGGAGAGGTGTCCGTGCTTCATAGGCTACAACTAGCAAAAACAAGTAGAAAACCTAGAAAATCCAAAGCTATTATCTGGATGGATAAAGATACCAAACAATTAAATTAGAATTATAACATAGATAGACAGACTAAATTCAATCTCCAAAACATATTTTGATTCCTTAATTATGTTCAGGCTCCCCATACAAACAGTATGTGGACCATGAACACATTTCATAGGCTCAAAAAGCTGATACAAAAAAGGACTGTCCCTTACACGGTCCGTAAGGGTAAACCAACAAAAGATCTCCAAAATATCACCCAAACAACATTACCATAGTATATCAGATTCAACAGATACATACAATTTAAATAAAAGCTTTCTTCACACTTGAGGCGCCTAAAGCAGCCATCCCTCCTTGCTGCCAACTTCCCGAAATTAACAGACTCTGCCCAAGATATACAGATACATGAGTTCCAGAAATAGCAGCTATACAACAGCAAGTTATACACACCAGCTGCTGTATAATTGCACATGCACACACTATATATTCTTACTACACTCGGCCCACTATATAGGATCTCACAACGCTATATTATATATTGTTATGTTGCTCCTCTATTCAGATGTGTTTTCCCTCCTTTGAAACTGAGCTGTGATTTTCCAGGAGCACATGACCCAGCAGATGTAGAAAATGGGATTTGCTATGCAATTGAACACCAGAGTAGCAGTGTAAACACGAGGCCACGACTTGAAGATACTATCTTTCTCAATAAGAAAAGGCGAAAGGAAAGCTGCTCAGGTAATGCCACTAATTTGAGGTGACAAATATGTCGTCGAATTTTGAGATTCCTAAATTTTACTTTGTTGGTTTGTACTTTCTGCCTTTTCCCACAATTTCTTGCTATACCATATGATTATTATATGCTTATTTGATATATAGAATGAAATTCTTATATGTTTTGTTGTATGAACTGCCTAAACAAGAATTCTTGAACAGCAAACAACCAGTTCAAATATGCATGACGGTGCAAGAGATGCTTTCTCATTACGCACAATAATTATAATTTTATAATTTACTGAACAAAATTTCAACTTTATAACTACTGAGTCATTTAAGCTTGATTTTTCAGGAAATATTGACTGGGACAATGAAATCAACAAATGTGATGGTTTTGGACTGAAGAGAAAGCAATGCTCAGAAGATGTCAGCCCCTTGAAGAGGATTAGAATGAAGTAACTCAGGTACCTATAGGGTTAGGGTGTGCATTTTCAACCTTTTTCTGGTCTCCCATCACTTGATTTCTTTGTTTCAGGTTCAGAAGCATTGCTTCCGGTCTTTTGCTGATCTTGCAGGGTCTCAACTGTTTGATGTGTCCAATAATTAATTTTGTTATTCAACCTTTTTCAGGTTCCCAAGCAGGAGAAAATGGAATCATTGCAAACACCCAATTTCGGTGCGGTTTCATTGGTGACAATATGACTAGAAGATGATGTCATTGTCATTTGTTTTTGTGAATCCAACTCTGTAAATACTACACAAACAGTTCTGTTTTGAAAAATCAAAGTTAGTTGAGTAATATCAGCCTTAATGGAATGGCTTCTCATTGAATCTGTACTGCTTTAATTCCATAACATTCTTCATTTCACTCTCTGCATAAAAATAGCAGCAGGTAAAAATATAACAGAAAATGATCGTGAGCGATGGAATCGGACATTCTGTTTGGCTGAGAAAAACAACGAAAAATTGCCAACTGGTCCTATCCCGACTAAATTGTGTTTGGTTTGGTTTTATTATTGCACAATTTGGTCCTAGTTATTAAAATAGGTGAATACGATTTAGTTCATAGTTTTATAGTTATGATTCTGATTTAGAATGAACCGGACTGTTTATATATATATATATATATATATAATTTGTTATTTATGGTAGACACTTGAGTATCTTATTAATATTTCATATATATTTATAAGTTGTTAACGCTATGCTCTTGCAAGTATGTAATTATACATTGCAAATATGTTATTGTGTGATGGTAGATTTAGTTCTATTTGTGTAATGGTAGATTTAGTTCTATATAATCATTTAAATAATTTTGTTTATAAAATGATGACACATTACTTGATGTTTGAGCAAGTTGATGACAAATATTTATAAAATAGTAACTCCAAATCATACTGAATAACATTTTTTTGATTCGATGTGATTTGATTATAAATTTCATAGAATTGTAAGTAGTGATTTGATCTTGGTTTGTGTCCCTTGTTTTGCGTCTTGTTTTAAGATCTTGCTGTACAAGCAATATTATGTGTAAGACAAGAAGACTGTTGTGTAAATTGCGAGATCATATAGAACAAACAAATTTATATTTTATATTTGCAATTGTAGACTACAACATCATGGTAGAAATTACAAGTAGAAGAACAGGAATATATAAAATAAAATAGTAACAGAAGATAAACCGAAACCTGCATTAGACAGTGTCCTTATAATAGATTCGCCACCTCACTGGTTGGGTACTGGAGGTTGTTCGACGTCTGTCTTTCAAGATGCGACGGTTGGATCAGCTACAGCAATGCACCAACTAAGTAGCTTCGGCGAACAGAATTTTGCAGCACTCTTTCACAAGAAAAATATAAAAACTGGAGCAAACTTTGGAAGACAAAGAGGAGCAAAATTTCTGGGTAGAAAACTAAAGGAGAAGGGTCTCCTTTTATACACATGAAGGAGGAGAGAGGAAGAGCCTCCTGCAGCAAATGCAAGATTTAATTTTGAGAATTAATCTGCAAAGCTGATGAACAAATGCTGCAAAACTAATGGATTAAACCATCACCATTATAGAGGAGTTACATAGTATTATACACATGTGAATGTGTATAATTCTGCAGCCCAAAAAGATTACGATGGGTGGGTCAAGCCTAACCCCCACACTCAATCCAAGCCTTAAGCCTCAAGTCCAAGCCCAAGTCCCAAGATCCACGACCTACGGACCCAAACCTGGCCCGATCTGGTCCGGCTTGCCGGCGCACGCGCGTGTGGCAATTTTTGCATAACCAATTTGGACTATAGTCTTGGCCCAAGTCCATCCTTGAAGCATCCACAACTCCCTTCTTTCAGAAAATTTGGATGCCCCAAAGGGTTTACACCCTTAGGCAAAAAATTAGATTTAAATACCCATCAATGCTCTCCTCTACAATCAATGTGGGATACAAGGTTTTAAACCTTTCCCAACACCTCTTTCATGAGGCCAACTTAATGAGTCAATTTCTCATTCAAATCTCAATGGTTTTTGGTCACTCTTTTTGTGGTGTAAAGATCTCACTACAAAGAATCTAAACCCACCTTACTCCACCTCAAATGAGGATTGGCACCCACTTTAATATTGCATTAAAATCACCAAAAAATTATTATTTTTTCAACAATCCCCCACATGAATAAAAATTGACCGAATAACAACAAACGGACAACGCTCAACAACAAAGACTATGAGAGAGTGCAACGAAATAACCCGGCATCAGAAAAGGTAGCTTTTGGCTTTGAACCCCTCCTTGTGAAATCTATTGGATTTACTGGCTGTCCAGTGAACACGAAGTCTTGAACTGTTCTGCCGTTTATGTAAACCAAGACAACAGACCTCACACAGAAATTACTCTAACCATTGTTTTGTTCTCACTGTTGTGTCCAGTTTGGCCCTGGAACACTAACCTGGTTTAGTGAGTAGTTTAAAGAATTAGGCCCTGTCAATTCTTATAGAAGCGGCCCCATTTCACACTTCCATAGGTGACTCTACTTGAGTATCCTGCTATACTTAGCTCAACATCTCAACCCACTAGAATCATTAAAAGCTCAGCTTAATCTCTATACTTGCAGGGATCACTAATAAAAAGAATGGATGGAGGTTTAACCTCCTCAGTGACATACCACCATTACACGCAATTAGGTTGTCCCATTGAACCTAGATCTTGGGATCTCCAATCAACTAGGTTCGGTTTCCATTCCGGTAACGCCTTACACTAAAGGCCTTAACCCCATTCCTTTTGACGATTTCTCTGCTGACACTCAATTTAACCCTTTGGTTAGTGGACCCACAATGTTGTTTTGAGACTTTACAAAGTCTAAAATGACAACTCCGTTCAAGAGTAGTTGTCGTATGGAATTATATCTACGACAAATATGTCTAGACTTTTCATTATACATATTACTCTGTGCCCGTCCAATCACCGATTGGCTATCACAATGAATACAGATGGCCGGCACATGTCTCGACCAACATGTAATATCCTCAACGAATTGGCGAAGCCATTTAGCTTCTTCAGTTGCTTTATCCAAAACAATAAACTCAAATTCCATCGTTGATCTCGATATACATGTTTGCTTGGAAGATTTCCATGACACGGTTGCCCCTCCAAGGGCAAACACTTAACCACTAGTGGATTTGGAGTCTTTATATCAGATATCCAATTAGCGTCTCTATACCCTTTTAATACCACTGGGTATCTGGTATAATGCAGCTCATAACCTAGGGTCTAGCATAGATAACCTAACACTCGCATAATGCCCCTTCAATGAGTAGCATTTGAATTACGTGTGTATCTACTAAGCCTGCTAATAAAGTAGGCTATATCCAGCCTTGTACAGTTCATCAGATACATCAAACTTCCGATGACTCGAGAATATTCTAGCTGAGAAACACTCTCACCATTATTCTTGGTCAAATGTAAACTCACGTCTACCGGTGTCCTAGACACACTTGTATCTGATTTGCCAAATTACTCAAGTATCTTCTCAACATAGTAAGATTGAGAAAATACAATACTATCAGATGTTTTGGTAATCTTAACACCCAGACTTACATCTGCAAGGCCCATATCTTTCATGTCAAACTTAGAGTTTAACAATCTCTTGGTAGTTCGAATCATTTCTTCATTACTACCAACAAGGAGTCTATCATCTATGTCTAGACACAAAATGACGTAACCTCTGTCAGTGTTTTTAACATATACGTGTTTGTCACACTTATTGATTTTGAACCTATTTGACAACATAGCGTTGTTAAACTTCTTATACCATTGCTTGGGAGCTTGCTTCAAACCATATAATGATTTCACAAGTTTACAGACTTTCTTATTTTGTCTTGGAGCTGAAAACCTCTCGGGTTGCTCCATGTAGATTTCTTCATCTGAATCTCCATTTAAGAAAGCTGTGTTTACATTCATCTGATATATCTCCTGACCACATAAAGCTGCTATAGCAATCACCATGCGAATGGATGTAATCCTTATCTTAGGTGAATACGTATCAAAGTAATCCAGGCCTTCTTGCTGCCTATATCCTTTGATAACTAGCCTAGCTTTATACTTATGAATTGATCCATCCGCTTTCATCTTTCTTCTAAAGATCCACTTTCTTCTCAAGGCCTTATTGCCTGGGGGTAGATCAACCAACTCCGAAGTATGGTTCTGTAACATGGAGTCAGTCTCACTTTTGATTGCTTCTTTCCACAAAGGACTTTCAGGTGAAGTCACAACTTCATGGAAAGTTCGAGGTTCTCCCTCTAACATATAAGTCAAGAAGTTCGGACCAAAGGACTTTGCAGTCCTAGCCCTCTTACTCCTTTTTGGCTCATTTACTTCCTCAGCTTGATCATTGACTTGATCATCCACATGATCATCTATGTGATTATCTGTGTGATCATAGTCATCTTTAACTTCTTTCATGCAACTTGGAGCCCCTTCTTGGAGATGATGAGGAAATACATCCTCAAAGAAAGATGTATTTCTTGATTACATGATAATATTCTAGTGTATATCTGGAATAACAAATTTAAACACAAGAAATCGATATGCACTGCTATTATGTGCATATCCAATGAATATACAATCCACTGACTTCGGTTCTATCTGAACCTGCTTGGGTGTAGGCACTGCCACTTTTGCAAGACATCCCCACATTCATAGGTATTTATCTAAAGGCTTGTGGCCTTTCCATAACTCATATGGAGTCTTGTCTACATTCTTTCGAGGTATTCTATTAAGAATGTAATTTGCTGAGAGAATTGCTTCCCCCCACAAGTTCTGTGGCAACCTAGAACTGATCAACATGGCATTCATCATTTCATTTAACGTCTTATTTTCCGCTCAGCAACACCATTTGATTGAGGGGAATAAGGCACTGTGCTTTGTGAATAATCCCAAATTGAGCACAAAGCTCAGCAAACGGGGATTCATACTCACCAACACACTCACTTCTTAAAGCCTTAATCTTTCGGCTTAATTAATTCTCAACTTCATTCTTGAAAAGAATAAATTTATCAATCGCCTTATCTTTGCTTTTAAGCAAATATGCATAACAGTGTTTAGTGCAATCATCAACAACAGTGATGAAGTACTTGTTGCTACCATGTGATTGTACGACTTTCAAGTCACACACATCACTATGCACTAAATTCAAAGGCTGAGTACTTCTTTCAATAGAATGAAACGAAGTCCTTGCCAATTTTGCTTCTACACAAGTTTCGCACTTGTGATTTGGATTAATCTTAAAAGATGGTATGTGATTTAATTTGATTAATGTACACAAAGAGTCAAAATTTGCATGACCTAGTCTACTGTGC